TGTTGTAAGGCTTAAGTGTTCCTTGTAACTGATGTTAGTGGGACAGTTTCAGCTACTAGTCCTTTCTTTCTTTTTTTCTTATTGTTCTTATCCTAGGATATGCCACCAGGGGCATACTTGTAATTTTGTCTTTTTTATAAAGATTATTATAAATAGAAGACTGGCGGCTGCCAGCACTGAGTTTGCTTTTCTTTCTATCATCCGTACCTTTCTCTCTCTCTCTCTCTCTCTCAATCACCACAAGCAACAACAGAGATAAATATCAGAAAGTTGTTAATTGGAGGTGATTTAAAGCTTGTAATTAGCTGGCTTCAAAAAGAGGAGGATGGATTGTGGTGTTACATATTTGAGAAGTAAAGCTGTTTAATTGCTACAAGGGACTTGTAATTGGTTTAAAAGAGATATAAATGCCTTTGCTGATACACTTGCTAAACAATGGATGGGAAGGAATAGTTTATTTTGGGCTGTCTTGTAACTTTATCTTCTGCTTGGGAGGGCTAACAGTGTTTATCCCTTCCCTTTTTCATTGTACTAAAGTTATTCCTCTTTATTGAATTTGATTCTGTTATTGAACAAAGGAAAAAAAAAGAGATCACAAAGCACCTCACCTCTCTGGTTTCGTTTCATTTTATCTCCAACAATCAAGACAATACATTCACAGTATTCAAAACCCACCTCAATTAGACCACCGAGAAACTGAAAAATAACTGAAAAGTCAATTAGATTAAAGCCCAACTCCACTTCAAAATACCTTGAGATGCAAAAAAGGGCCTTCAAAAATTGATCAAAACACAAAAATACAAAAAAGAGTGTCAAATAGCCACTCGATAGAAAGACAACTGTCAAGAAACCTCATGGAGAAAGAACTGAGCTAAAAACCCATTTCATTCATTTGAAGTATTTAACAATAGCTATGAAAAAAAAAAGCATGAAGAGATAACTGACTTATGATTTGTGCTACTGTTAATATGATTTTCGGATTATTTCAGTGGTTCCTTGAGGATTCTGTTGTTTTTCTGTAGGTGGTTTCATTTATGGAGGAGCTAGGTTTTGATGGTGAAAGCATAGGGAGAATACTTAGTCGCTGTCCTGAAATATTTGCTGCTAGCGTCGACAAAACTCTCAAGAGGAAGCTCAAATTTCTTGCTGATATTGGTATCTCCAAGGATCACCTTACCCGGGTTATTAGGAAATATCCAGAGCTTCTTGTGTCTGATATAGATAAAACATTACTGCCAAGGTAACTCCTGAATTCTGAAGCTGTATATTTTTGTTTGTGGTTTATGATGCTTGACATGAAAACACGTTTACCTTCTAATGTCCTGTTGCAAAAAAATAAATAAATAAATATAAAACCACTGTACTTTTAGTACCCATTTGGAAGTGTAATGGCTTCTGGCTTTATGAGGTGGGCCCCACCCAGGCAGTCCATAAGAATGTTCAGTGAAAATACTGGAAAGCCTAAAATAGCTTGCTTACAGCCAAAAATATGGCTTTCCACTGAAGCTTCTTTTTGTGACTTCTCCAAAGCATCTCAGTGAAATCAGCTCAATCAAAGGTTCAACCCTCCCAAACAGGCCCTTAGTTTGTAAAGTAGCTATTATTTTGACCCTTTGGAGACCACTTGCAAATAGGATGATTTTGAATGTGATGATACCATTGTCTTGGTTTGCCTCCATTGATCGAATGAATCCACAAAATGGTGAATACGTTGAGTTGAACGGATTTGAAACCCTCATCCTCATCATTTTTATTTTCCTATTTTCCAGTCTTTTTTCCCTTGGGGTTTGGGGGAAGATGGTGCTGAGCATTTTGGAATCCCTTACTCAATGGATCTTAAATCTTTAGGATGTAGGTACCCTTTTTGACAGTTTCATTTTGAAATACCTATCTTGGATAGAATCTAGTAACATGCCCACCTCAGGTTCCATTTACACACCTTGATCACCCTAAATGTTCACACTGCCATCTTGAGGTTTTGCTGTTTAATGTATGAGCCTTTAAAGCATGGGGTCCTTGATGTATAGTCATTAAGTACCCTTTTTTTATAGATTCATTTTGAAGTACCTTTTCTTGGATAGAATCTTGAAACATGCCTATGTCAGCTTCCATTTACACTCCTTGATCATCTTAAGGCTGTGTTGGGTTTGAAAGAAAAGGTAGGGAAACCTATACAACTATGTAAAGGTTTCCCTTCCTTTCCCTATTCCTTTCCTTTCAAACCAAACACATCCTAAATGTTCACACTACCAGGTTGATGCTTCACTATGTGATGTATGAGCATGCAAAGCATGGGGTCCTCAATAAATACCCGACTATTATTGTGCTACCCACCTTTCACTCTAGCAAACTTAGCTACTGCTTTAAACACTAGTTCAGATTTAACCCTGCACCTTTTTTGTTTTGATAGTTTCATTTTGAAGTATCTTTCTTGGATAGAATCTGGAAATATGCCCATTTCACTACCAGGTTGATGCTTCACTATGTGATGTTGAGCATGCAAAGCATGGAGTACTCAATAAATACCCGACTATTATTGTGCTACCCATCTTTCACTCTAGCAAACTTGGCTACTGCTTTCAACACTAGTTCAGATTTAACCCTACGCCTTTTTTGTTTTGATAGTTTCATTTTGAAGCATCTTTCTTGGATAGAATCTGGAAATATGCCTATTTCAGTTTCGTTTTACACATCTTGATCACCGTAAATGTTCAAACTGCCAGTTTGATGTTTTGCTGTGCTGTCTGATTATTCAAAGCATGGGATCATCAATAAATACCTACCTCTTATTGTCCTACCAGTCTTCCACTGAACTTGGCTACTGCATTTAACACCTTGGTGTTGACATAAATACATATTACATTCGAAACTAATATTATTATGAGTGTTAGATTGTAACTGCATTCATGTGACAGAATGAAGTATTTGATGAAGACTGGATTGTCTAAGAGAGAGGTGGCATCTATGGTTCGTAGGTTCTCACCTTTACTAGGCTACAGTGTAGAGGAGGTTTTGAGACCAAAGCTTGAATTCCTTGTCAACACCATGGAAAAGCCTGTGAAGGATGTTGTGGAGTATCCAAGGTACTTCAGCTACTCCTTGGATAAGAAGATAAAACCAAGGTTTTGGGTGCTCAAGGGCCGCAATGTGGAATGTAGCCTAAAAGATATGTTGGGTAAGAATGATGAAGATTTTGCAGCAGACTACATGGGTATTGGAAAGATGCTTGTTCCTCCTCTATGATAGTTTGTGAAGAATAGTTGTGTAGATTATAAATGGAAATGAAAGCTTCTCGGTAAATTGGGATGTAAATTATATTTTTAAAGTTATTGGAAAAACAAAGCTTTTCATTTCATGGTATATGCTGTTTCACCGAACTTATCAAAACCATAGTAATACAATCTAGGCCTGTCAAACTTCCAGAGTAGTGGGAAGGACGGTTTTGTTTGTAAGTTGGATCTGGAAAAAGCGTACGGTTGTGGATTAGGATTTTTCTGAAGGATGCTATGGAAAGCTTTGGATGTAGTAATAGATGGTGTAGATGGATATTGGGTTGTATTAGGACCTGTCATTTTCAATTTTTGTTTATGGAACAATTGTAAATCGTTTTTTAGCCCTTAGAGGAATTAGGTAAGGGGATTCACTCTCTTCTTTCCTTGGTTAATCTCCCAAAATCAAGACAATACATTCACATTATTCAAAACCCACCTCAATTAGATCACTGATAAACTGATAAAGAACTGAAAAATCAACTAGATTAAAGCCCCACTCCAGTTCAAAATACCTTGAGATGCAAAAGGAGTCTTCAAAAATAGATCAATACACAGATGTACAAAAAATAACTTGTATTTTTAAGTTATTGGAAAAATGAGGCTTTTCATCTCTTGGTATATGCTTTTTCACCGAATTAGGCCCATCGAAACGAGGCTTTTCATATCAAAACCCTAGTCATACAATCTAGGCCTGTCTAAATTCCAGAATAGGCAGGCATGAGATTGGAGGTCCCCACTTCCAACTAAAACCTGGGTATTGTGCTTGAGCTTGAAAAGCCCATCTCTAAAATTCCCTGAAACATAAGCTCAAGACCAAAAGTGTAAGTCGGCCTGGTCCAGTAGAAACTTGAAGCTCAACTTTGAATTTAGGGCCTGTTCGTTTTTTGGATTCTGAGGGGGGGAAGGTTGGTCAGTGGGATTTTGGTTTTTATTGACCAAGATATTCATGTTCTTTTTTTTATATTTATGTGGGGTTCATGAAAAATTACTTTTCTTGGGTATCGCTTATCTGGGTTACTGATACTCATCTCCCAAGTGGATAAGTAATTTTTTCACCTAAGGAGAAAGTTGTCAACACTTGGATGGGACAAAATTGACCTTTTTTATAATAGTTGTTTATGACTAAAACGACTATTGTCTTATTTATCTGAAAAATAAAAGAACATGGATAAATGCACTTATCTGGATAAATAACTTTTCAAAAAAACAAATTACCCTAGCATATAATCAAACCATATATGTAGTGTCAATAGTTTTAGCGAACCATTATATTTCCTACTTACAAAAACATAAATATAGTGATCCCAATTGACCGAGTAAGGTTTTAACTTAAAAAATAAGTGAAGGCACTGCCATGGCAAAGAAGGGGATGACGTTTGCAGTGCAACAACAATTGATTGCGAGTCCGAACGGAGATGTTCCTCCATCCTTCACTGTATGCTTTCAAAAGCCTTGGCTAGGAGAGATAAGACCTCCCTTGCAGCTCTGTTTCCTCTACTACACCTAAACCTTGAGAGTAAAACTTTCCTCTTGCAGGACCTATGTAAGATGATTCCCTTGTTAGAAATACAAATCCTTCTGCTAGGAGAGATAGGCCCTCCATCACAAAATAGAGCATAATTGATGCCTTTTATTAGTTGATTGTCACAACTTCTATGTGACTGCACCTGATGTTTGGATTTCCCTTTAAGACCTGATATGCCCTCTTATCTATACTTTCTTTCGGTTTGCCTAACCAATCGTGAGTGAATACCCTCATGTTGGGCATCGAAGTTGGGTATTCGGTTGCCACCTTTTACTAAGCCTTAATGTACTGGATGATATCATAAAATCTATTTCTACTTTCCAAAATTACCCCCATTTCTACCTGAACAGTTGAACCATTGATTTGCAACTTGGAGGCAAAAACAGTTCAACATCTGGGTCGATTTTTAATTAATATTTAATTACTTAATAGAAAATTGTTTAGTTAATACTTAACTACTTAATAAATGCTAAAAATTTTAATTATTTTTAAATAATTGATATTAATAATTACTTTACTAAAATTAAATAATTAATAAAGTAATAGTTAATTAATAATAATTAGTTACTAACTACTAAATAAAAATAATTAAATATTCAATTAATCAATTATTTTGTTTAATTATTTAACTATTGAATAATTAGTTACTTATATGAATAATTAATAAATATTTATTGTTTATTAACTATGAATAATTTATTTAATAATCAATCATTTTTACCTATTTATTTTTTATTATTTATTAATAATTTCTAGTTCTATATTTTTTAAAAAAACATTATTTAATTATTTATCACTTTTTATTAATTTATTTGTTTTTTAATCATTTTATATTCATTAATTAATTGCTAATTATATTATTAAATAGATAAAGAAATTTTCTTATATCCTGGGTTGAAACAGTCAATTGTAATTTTTTAGAACTCAACATGCAGATTGCAGAATATTGCCTACATTTACATATCAGAACCAAGAAAAGTTCTCCAAATCCTATACACCTCTTAAAGTAATTATTACAGTTTTAGATGCTACATGTTAGAGGAAATAAACAGGCTCTAAATGCCCATTTGGAAAGCTAAGAAGTTATGTTTGGTGAAAACCTAAAAGGCAAAAATTTGCTTCATTGAGGCAAGACAATAACGCTATTTTTAGTAGCTTCTTCAAAGCAATTCAGTGAAAGTAGCTGATCAGTCAAAGCTGAAGCCCTCCCAAATGGGCTCCAGAAATTTGAGCTAGCATAACAAGCTATGTTCTATGGAACAATGGAGGAGAAATTACTTCTCACGGAAAGGGGTTTTATACCAATGCCTGCAATTGAGGGCGAAGCCACCTTATAGTTCCAAGTGTATGCAACCTCAGATTCAACTTGAACAGTGAAGGTTTCAGGAGACATAGTGGCGGGGAATCCTCCTTGCTGTAGCCTGTAAGACCAAAAGGTTTTGTTGTCTCTCTCTTAACCAAGGTTCAAAGTATAGGAAATGCAAGGAGTATTTGGATGGAAGTTTTAAGAGATGTATCACAATAACTTTGGATACGCATGAAAAGGTTAATACACATGGATACTCTGGGAAACTTAAATAAATCCTAAAAATATATCAATAACAATAAATATATATGTATATATATTAACTGACTATAAATAATTTATTTATACATAAAAAGAGATTCTTCAATGGTAAGTGTGAGATATTGGGGCACAATTGGTATCTGTTGAAAATTGATGTAAGAATTAAAATATGTGTGTGTATATATATATACTTTAATTCTCAAAAGATTTGTAATTTGTGTTGATATTTATAAATATATAAATTTTAATAATCAATTTTAACACTTATCAACAAATATCCACTAAGAAAATAAAAGTCAAAATGCATATAATTATGGCAAGCAATTAAAAGTATGGCATAGTCATGGACCTATGGCCTTTCAAACTAATGGCAAAGGTTCAAACTAAAACACGCCCTATAGTTTCATAAACTTACTAAAACCTACCCTATAGTTTGTGTTTTACTAAAACACCCCCTATAGTTTGCAATCAACTTACTTAATCGACCTTCCATTACATGAAAGTGAAAATAACAGTTTTAACCCTAACATTCATTCAAACAAATTTAATCAAAAGAAATTAAAAAGAAAATGTCATTTTTGCCCCTAGTAAAACACGAACAACCACTCTATTTTTCTCTATTTTGTCAATTTTGTTTTTCTTTTCAAATAAAAGTGATGAAAAACCCAAGTTATGGGTGTAAAGGCCTATAAATAGTCTTTTATTTCTATCAAGAGGTCCATAAATAATTTCCTTTAGTCATGAATACAGTTAACAACCTAATTCAATTTAAATCTTTACATTGGTGATTTGATCCCCCTGATCTGGATGAATGCAATTTTGTGTACATGGGCTGGATGGGATAACAATAGTCTTTCTCTGAGGCTGCAATTGGTATCCCAATTATATGAATTTGAATTCGAATTTGATCCCATTAAAGTGATACAAATTCATCTGTTTATAATTGGATCCAATATGGATCGCCCCTTATTCGATCTAATATAATTCAATTTGATTCTGTTTAAATGTATATACTCATAGGTTCTAAAGTAATATTGTACATTGAGTTGAACTTCATTGCAAAAGCTGCAAAATGAATCAAAAAATTAATCATTCACTTTAAAGGCGTTATATGGTCTACTTAATTTTTATTGGCTCACATTCCACAAGGTGTACAACACCTATGATGTTTTAACTTTATTTATACTATTCATTAGTGATTGCAATCCGAATTCAACCAAGTCCAATATAAATTCAATGTATAATATTCAAATCATATTCGAATATAAACAAACCAAACTTGGATCTAACTATATCCAATTCAATTTTATCCATTTGCATCCCTTTCTCGAGAATCTCAACCATATACCATACCACACGGTAACTGCAATCTATGGATCAAAAAATCATTGATCTAGTTCATAGTCCAACAAGAAAACAATTACATAGAAATCGTCTATCCATCTAACTACTATGTAATAGAGTATTAGTGGCAAGGAAGATCAAGGCTGTTGGATATGTGGATGTATTGTTCAGATGATCTAAGGGCTAAGAAGAGAGTTGAAAATATAGTTATAGGTTGGAAGGAGGCTATTTTGTCTACTGGTAGAAAGGAAGTTGTTATTAAGGCAGTGTACACTGCCATTTCCATCTAACTACTATGTAACGCAAGGAAGATCAAGGCTGTTGGGTATGTGGATGTATTGTTCAGATGATCTAAGGGCCAAGAAGAGAGTTGAAAATATAGTTATAGGTTGGAAGGAGGCTATTTTGTCTACTGGTAGAAAGGAAGTTATGATTAAGGCAGTGTACACTGCCATTTTCACATATGCAATGTCATGCTTTTTATTTCTTAAAGGGCTTTGAGATCAATTGGTTAGAATTTAGAGGAAACTTTTTTGGGGGAGGAAGAAAACAAAAGGAAAAAAAATGGATGAGTTGGAAGAACTTGTGTAAAAAAAGTAAATTTCTTAAACTATCCTTATGGTTTAGCTAATTGACTAAGTATACCCTACTATTTCAAAAAATTACCATTGCCATTAAATATTGACGGAAAGGCTGAAATCTCAATTTTACCCTTTTGTTAAATCTCTCATCTGTCTCTCTCTGTCTCTCTTCACCTTCGCATAATGAAGTCACCGTTGTCACTGTTGTGTCCCTTCTTCCCCTTCATTCTCTCTCTCTCTCTCTCTCTCTCTCTATCTATCTATCTATCTATCTATCTCGCCAATACTG